AAGAAAATAAGATATTTTCAGACATTTCTGCCTTTTCTCCAATTACGTAGGGATTTAGATTTATTTGTAATATATTTTAACATATCGAACATTAATATAGTCCAAAATGGGTATAAGTATTTTAACTAAATCTCACTAATTAGGCCGTGAGAGGCCTATTTACTCATGGACAATGTTATAAAGTAGGCCATGACAGTGACAGGTAATATTATGACAACATTGTTATTGTTTGACAGTTTGTATTATTATTTAATTAAAATGGGTTACACAGAAGTAGAAAATTTAAATATTATAGGAATTAAGAGAGTAGTTAAGATATTCTCCATACTTTATTTTAATTCCTAATAATATTTCTATTTTCTATTTCTGTGTAACCCATTTTAATTAAATAATTATACAAACTGTCAAACTATAACAATGTTATCTGACATTACTACCTGTTACTGTCACGACATACCATATAACATTGTCCATGAGTAATTGGCCTCACGTCTAATTATTGCGATTTAGTTAAAATACCCATACGCATTTTGGACTATTATACATTGTGTTTCTTAATAACGTGCTAATATTTATGGAGGTTATTCTTGGGTCCATTTTAAGAAAAAAACTTCATATGAACATATGTCCTAAAAGTCTTAACTTTTAAACTACAGGGTGCTAAAGTTTTATGAAAAAACTTTTTTTATGATAACTTTGGTATTACCCTAGATATTTTTTCAAATTTGGTACACGCCTTCTATTCATCGAGATGCATTTTCTGACGTACAAACAATTGTATTATTTTTGCCAGTGGCGTCTGTACAGGTTTTGTATTGAATATTTTTGAAGAAAAATTTGTTACGCCAGGGTAATTTTCTTTTGCCATTCCAAAATGTATGTAGATTACTGTACTTTCATAATTTCAGTGTTTAAAAGTTATTATCTTAAATAAATTATTGTTCAAAGTTACACAATTTTTTTCTCTCGTAAGAGGTCCAATAAGATGCAAATGAATGAATTTTATTTTTTTATGCGGAAACCGCACAACAAACGAAAAAAATTGAAGACACCACATTTGCTCAGAAAGGAATGAGGATTTCAAAAATGATTTTTACTAATAGAAAAAGTAGTGGCGTAACATATTTTTCTTCAAAAATATTGGATACAAAATCTGTACAGACGCCACTGACTAAAATAATAAAATTGTTTGTACATCATAAAATGCATCTCGATGAATAGAAGGCGTGTACCAAATTTGAAAAAATATCTAGGGTAGGTAATACCAAAGTTACAAAAAAATTTTTACGTAATTGGAGAGACAGAAATGGCTGAAAGAGATTTAACAATTACAAGATGTACTATTTTCTTAATAAAAAAACATCTTTTTGTTTTTTAATTAATATTATCTCGCTTATTGTTAGAGATGGACTCAACAAAACCTATATGGATATGCTCGACAAGGAACGTTCTATCCAAATATGTAAAAATATAGAGGGTGTTAAATTTAAATTAACAAAGTTAACATCCGCGGCCATTTTGTTTGAACTTCATTTGTTTATCTGCCATCATTTTTTAAAACGTCATAAAAAGTCGTGCAACTTTTGTATTTCACATTTTTTATAAATCTTAAAACAAAAAAGTTAAAGGGGGGTCAAAATATAGTGAATCATCCTGTACATATGAACATTATTGTGGGTAACCTAACAAACTTCGATAGTTGTCAGCCTTATCTTTTATTTTTTTTGTGCCCATAGACCTCTCGACATAAAACGATCCATTTTCTATATATAATTCTCCAATTAATCCTTGCAATATTCGCTTAAAGGCAAGAACTCCTAAAATGTTTATAAATGTGTTCTTGTAAGTTCCATATTTTCGTTCTTATTTTGTTTGTTATTACCTTTTACAATAACTGACAAGTATGGATTAGTACCTACCAACCTTATTTGTTTCTACCTATTAATGACTAGTTTTTTATGTTATATTTTTTATCGATAAACTTTTTCGAATTCAGAATATTGTTAACAAAGTTTGCTGCAAGTGCACCGCTCAAGACGTTCGAAAGAAGTAACCACCAATTTGATAGCTGTAAAACAGAGGTCGAATGCGGAAAAATCAGTTTTCGAAAATTGCGCATTATTATTGCAAAAAGCGATGGATGTTGATGAAATTTATGAAAAAGACGGTCAATCCAAAGACCAACATGTGTGTCAAAGACCGATTAGATTGACCGTGAAATTGTTGCACCTGGTATTTGATAATTAATTTCGTTCGTGTTATTGCAACTAATTGTTTAATGACTAAACGTTAATTTATGAAGTTTTTATCGTAGATACAGGTTCTCTAATTGATTCAGAAAAACATATCAATAAAGAAACATTTCAAAAAGTTGAAATTAAGTAGGTAGCCCTTTACAACTAACAAAGTAGGACGTGCACAACAGCGTTATAAACAAATTGTCCCCTGACTCAGGCAAAAGCCGCTCGGGAATTTGCTCTTTTTGCATTAAATAGAGCTTAATTTTACTTTAATTTAAAAAAAGAGAAGTCACCTACTGTAAAATAAATGTTATTGTTGGTATTTTCACTGTTTATACATGGGTGATCACAAAGCAGTTTATCTCGACAACAGCTGGGTCATTCGCCAGAAATTAAGAAGGTATATGAAACAAATATCAAAGTTACTGTTCTGTCAATAAAAAAAAAACAAATAAATAGGTATCTTACCGAGGGGTTATACTCCCCCGTAGAACTTACAAGGCACACTTCGAAGGAACCACAGCCAGTAAAACCGGGAACACGTGGCGCGCCCTAGAGGGTTTTCATAAACATAAAAGAGCATATTACTCACAAATTCATAATTTGTTAAACAAATGTATTCAAGCCATCACACACATAATAATAATCAACCTTATTCGGGCGCTGGTCAGGCAAAGAACACCCTTTCCTAGTTTCGGCATCCCGGGCTACATTTTGGTACTCATAAATTACATTATCTCAAGAGCAAATAAACACTTGGCTGGCGCATTCCGTGTGAACAACTGAGGTTTAATTCAAAGCAACCACGATAGTTTTCATTATAAAATAAAATATATATTTTTTCCTATATTTACAATACGTTAAAAATAAACAAGTGTTACATTACGCCTCTTTGTTTCCAAGATATTTTTTTTATAACGTTAATTGTTAATTAACTATTGGACGTATCGGACCGGGATTTTAGAGACATTTAAAGATTACGGTTAAACTTTTATTTTCAGAAAGTTTTACATTGATGGTCACGTTAATGAACGGCCTGCACACGGGAGAAGGAGCGCCGAGCTCGCGCAGGCGCGTGAGTACCGCTCTCGTCGCGCGCGAGATTTTTTACGTGAGCGTTTCAAATTCGGTATTTAGAGAATTTATTTCATCCAAAAANTATTATAGGAATTAAGATAGAGTAGTTAAGATATTCTCCATACTTTATTTTAATTCCTAATAATATTTCAATTTTCTATTTCTGTGTAACCCATTTTAATTAAATAATTATATAAACTGTCAAAAAATAACAATGTTATCTGATATTACTACCTGTTACTGTCACGACCTACCATATAACATTGTCCATGAGTAATTGGCCTCACGCGGTCTATTTATTGCGATTTAGTTAAAATACCTATACGAATTTTGGACTATTATATATCAATGTCTGATATGTCAAAATATATTACAACTAAATCTAAATCTAAATCCCTACGTAATTGGAGAAAGACAGAAATGGCTAAAAGAGATTTAACAATTACAAGATGTATTATTTTCTTAATAAAAAAACATCTTTTCGTTTTTTTAATTAATATTATCTCACTTATTGTTAGAGATGGACCCAACAAACCTTATATGGATATGCTTGACAAGGAACGTTCTATCCAAATATGTAAAAATGTAGAGGGTGTTCCATTTAAATTAACAAAGCTAACATCCGCGGCCATTTTGTTTGAACTTCATTTGTTTTTCTACCAACATTTTTTAAAACTTCATAAAAAGTCGTGCAACTTTTGTGTTTCACATTTTTTTATAACACTTAAAACAAAAAAGTTAAAGGGGGGGTCAAAATATAGTGAATCACAATGTACCTATGAACATTATCGTGGGTAACCTGACAAACTTCGATAGTTGTCAGCCTTATCTTTTATTTTTTTGTGCTCATAGACCTCTCGAAATAAAACGATCCATTTTCTACATATAATTCTCCAATTAATCCTTGCAATATTCGCTTAAAGGCAAGAACTCCTAAAATGTTTATAAATGTGTTCTTGTAAGTTCCATATTTTCGTTCTTATTTTGTTTGTTATTACCTTTTACAATAACTGACAAGTATGGATTAGTACCTACCAACCTTATTTGTTTCTACCTATTAATGACTAGTTTTTTGTTATATTTTTTATCGATAAACTTTTTCGAATTCAGAATATTGTTAACAAAGTTTGCTGCAAGTGCACCGCTCAAGACGTTCGAAAGAAGTNGAGGTTTAATTCAAAGCAACCACGATAGTTTTCATTATAAAATAAAATATATATTTTTTCCTATATTTACAATACGTTAAAAATAAACAAGTGTTACATTACGCCTCTTTGTTTCCAAGATATTTTTTTTATAACGTTAATTGTTAATTAACTATTGGACGTATCGGACCGGGATTTTAGAGACATTTAAAGATTACGGTTAAACTTTTATTTTCAGAAAGTTTTACATTGATGGTCACGTTAATGAACGGCCTGCACACGGGAGAAGGAGCGCCGAGCTCGCGCAGGCGCGTGAGTACCGCTCTCGTCGCGCGCGAGATTTTTTACGTGAGCGTTTCAAATTCGGTATTTAGAGAATTTATTTCATCCAAAAAAGTATTGTACTGTATATTACTGAAACCGTGTTTTGCAGGTCTCTCCAATCTACTTAGCTCGGCCTGCAAAACACCACTTTCGGATCTTGTAATGCGACTTATTGTTGTTGTTACTATATTTAATTGATTTGTTTTTGTTTCAGACATCAAAAATGAAGCTCCTGTCAGTCGCCCTCGTTCTAAGCTATCTAACTTTTGGAGATGCATATACAAGTAAGCATTAACTGTTTCATTTGCCTATATAAGTATCGTTTTCGAGTCAGGTCACGTTCAGCCTTCCAGTGTCATTTTCAATTTATTAAAACTGGGAAAACAAAAGCTTCCTACCTTAAGCGAAGGCTGCGCATAATTCAAATTAATGTATTCAACAATTTAAAGACAGAATTGGTAACGACGTGATTCAGTTTCAATCTCGGAGTTCTAGTTACACATTAGGAATATTTGCGAGACTGATCTACTCCTAGATTTATTGTAAACTTATGTTTACTCTGAGAAGTGCTTTAAAGTTGAAACTATTTCCGCTTCAGTTTTGCACTGCAGGATTGTGCTTAGGGCTTTGGAATTTGTCTATTAGAGACTTTGCCCGTCCGCACCAAATATTGATTTTTCACATTGTCTGCATTGAATTGCAATTTGCGCAATAAAAAACAAAGAGTACTTATTTGCTTGCGTACAGGGTATCTCGAAGACAACAGTCAAATGATCGATAGGATCAGTAGAATAGACTGAGTTTAATACCGTTTTATCGAAAATATCTTATTGTGTCACAATTCTTAAGAGCCTTAATTCTAGTGCGCTTTTGTGGCACATCATAAATTAATAAAAAAAATATGAATCTATTTAATATTCAGAAAAATGCTTGGCCTTCTATTGACCAAGCTTTATTGGCAGATTCTATGTTCTAAATTAATTTAAAAAAGTTACTGTAAATATGTGAACGGAAGCGATTCATTTTAGAGACATAAGATGTTCAAAAGGAAAACTTTTATAAGAGATTTTTTTCTGTATTACTTCCCGTTTACAAGTAATAAGCAATATCGTCGCAAGGTCGAATCCAACCTTGTAAAGGTTATACAGGGTAGCCCATCGAAAACGTACCGCAAGGCATTACAGGGTAGTAATGAACTTTTCGGCAAAATCCAAAAACAGGTAAAGTTTGCTTCTGAGGGGGACAACTTTTGGCGCAAAAAGCATAGCAAAATCTTCAACCCCCTAAGTGGGGGTGCCATCCCCCAAATTTTTTTAAATGGGAATGGGGGTCAAGTGGGGGGTCATTAGAAAGGGCTTTTAATTCTCTATACATCGATTCTTACTTTTTGAAAATCGATCCATTATTTTAGAAAATATGCAGCTTTGAAAATACGAACAATATTTTTGACGAGAAATGCGAAAATCGATTTAATTTTACTTCAAAACTTACGGTATTAGCTTGGTAAATTCCTTCAAAAGAATTCGCTGTTTTTTTTCTGATTTGCGAATTCTTTAGCCTGATTTTGGTGAGCAAAAAATTGTCCGCTTTTTGTTTCGTATTTAGATAGGCCACAAGAAGTTGCTAGATAACTGTCTTGTGACTTGTAGTTGAAGAGTACCAATACTGCCGAGTCTTTTAAATTGATTAATTATGGTGTACTCAATTCCAGAAAGAGTAGAAATTATTGAGCTTTTTTTCAAAAACAATGAATGCGGAAATCGGGTCGCCGAACTGTTCAACCAACGGCATCCTGAGAAACATGCGTCTGGAAAAATTGTTCGCGAATTGGTGGCCAAATTTCGCGAAACTGGCTCCGTTCATAACAAAAAGAGGCAGGTTGAAAATCCGGTACTAAATGAACCTACGGAAATAGCGGTATTGGGGCAAGTGGCAATGGATAGTACGCTGAGTACAATGCAATTGGCTACTGCGACAGGAGTGAGTCGTACAAGTGTCCAACGAATATTAAAAAAATACAAATTCCATCCTTATAAGATTCGGCTAGTGCAAGAGCTAAATGAAGACGATTTTGATCGTCGTTTGCAATTTTGCGAAATAATGACTGAACGAGCGATAAACGATAATTTCCTCTTTAATGTGTGTTTTTCGGACGAGTGTACGTTCTTCTTGAATGGTTTAGTGAATCGCCATAATTGTCGTTACTGGGCTGATACCAATCCAAGGATTTTCCATGAGACACACTCCCAACACCCCCAGAAGTTGAATGTATGGGCAGGTATTTTTGGAAATTCCATTGTAGGTCCTTTTTTCCTTCCTGGAAATTTGACAGGCGATATGTACTTGGATTTACTACAAAATGTCATCGACCCAGCTCTAACAAATATCATAGAGGACGACCCTGCTTACAATGAACACGAACTGATTTTCCAGCAAGACGGAGCTCCTCCACATTACTCGCTCAATGTGCGCAATTACCTAAATGAGACGTTTCCAGGACGCTGGATAGGACGAAGAGGTGCAATTGAGTGGCCCCCTCGGTCACCCGACTTAAATCCTTTAGATTTCTTTCTCTGGGGGCACATTAAAAGCAAAGTTTACAGCACTCCACCTGATACCTTGGAAGATCTGCGAGGACGAATCATTAATGTATGTCGCGAAGTAACACCGCAAGTGCTCCAGAATGTTCGACAACGGTTTGAAGACAACCTGTATCATTGTATGCAAGTTGGCGGACAACATTTTCAGCATTTACTTGACTAATACCGTAAGTTTTGAAGTAAAATTAAATCGATTTTCGCATTTCTCGTCAAAAATATTGTTCGTATTTTCAAAGCTGCATATTTTCTAAAATAATGAATCGATTTTCAAAAAGTAAGAATCGATGTATAGAGAATTAAAAGCCCTTTCTAATGACCCCCCACTTGACCCCCATTCCCATTTGAAAAAATTTAGGGGATAGCACCCCCACTTAGGGGGTTGAAGATTTTGGTATGCTTTTTGAGCCAAAAGTTGTCCCCCTCAGAAACAAATTTGACCTGTTTTTGGATTTTGCCGAAAAGTTCTTTACTACCCTGTAATGCCTTGCGGTACGTTTTCGATGGGCTACCCTGTATGATCAGGAATGTGGCGCTCTGGATACCTTTCTCGATATAACTCTACAGCTCTTCTTGAATTGTGACTCGCTGTAAAATAGCAATATATCAACTTTTTCTGAATGAGAAAACATTTTGTAAGCACAAAAGTTATACGTTTGGCATTCGTATTGATTGAGTAATGACAAGTATTTTGTGACATTTATGCAGTTGATCCTTCCACCGCTAATGTGATTTTTAGGTGGTATTTCTTTTGAGACTCTTTAGAACGATATTGCTTATAATTTTTAAACGGGAAGTAATACAGAAGCATTTCTCTATTAAGAGTTTATTAGAAAAAATAGAGCTTTTTTAATAAATGAGGTCTCTAAAAATAAAGTAAAAACCACTGACGTAACTTTTCTGGGCAAAAATCAATAGATACTCCCCCATACCTACGCCGCTGAAGGGTCTGAAATGCAATCGATTATACCAAATTATAATCTAAGTATTATAATATATTGACCCAAATTCGATTTCTAGTGAAAAATTTAGAAATTATCAATAAAAAAACATATTTTTTTATTTATTTTTTTTGATATCCTCTATTTCGAGGACGAATCAGTTAGGGCGTATGTTTATATGAATTTGTTTCGTATTTTTGGATGCATATGGTATAAGGGGTGTACCTTTAGATTGTAACACCTCGTTTTTGAAAGATAGGAGACAATATGTAAGTTTGACTCAGCATTGTGATGAACACGGTGGTTTGCACAAAATTTTTAACTCGGAGAGTAAAGCAGTTGAAATAGGAGTTCCTCAAGGTTCAGTTCTGGGCCCAATACTGTTTATTTTATGCATCAATGAATTGGATACTTTAATACCAGAAATGTTTCTTTCTATGTATGCCAATGATCAATCTGTTATTATTTCAGCTAAATCTGATAATGATGTAGAATATAAATGCAATAGGATAACTGATACGTAATTTGTAATTCATTGAATTTAAAAATTGGAAAGCACAATTTGGTTAGTAATAATGCTATTAAGTTTTTGGGAATTGCTATTGACGAAGGTCTAAATTGGAAATTACATTGTGAACAATTGAATATTAAGTTAATTTCTGTGACATTCAATTCTGAATGTAAAGTCTGTTTTAACTAAAGAACAACTACTTAAAATATATTACGCTTTAGTCGAGTCTAGGTTGAGGTATGGTTTGTGTTTATGGGGTGGTTCAACTTTATTTTCAGTTATTTTTATTGTTCAAAAGATAATATTAAGATGTATGGCAGGTGTTCCGAATACTGGTTCGTGTAGGAATATATTTAAGGATTTTCGAATTTTAACTGTATGTTGTCTGTGGATTTATGAATTATCTGTACATGTGTATATAAATAAATATAAATTTTTTAAGAAGAGGGATATTCACTGCATTAATATAAGGCAAAATGATAAATATCATATAAATTTTTATAAATATAAAATTTCATTGAATTCACCGACATGTCTTGGTCTTAAAATTTTTAATCATTTAAGTGATCACATAAAGCATGCTAAAAGTTTAAAAGTTTTTAAAAATGTGCTAAAAGGTTTTTTACCCGAAAGTTGTTATTATACTTTAGACGAATTTTTTATGGTTTAGTTTGTAAGGCAATTATTATGACAAAAACGTGCATTTTCTAAAAAATTAGGATATTTGTATAGTATTTCCGTCGGTCGAACATGTATGAAAACGCACTAAAAAAGTTTTCTGCTAAAGGTAAAAAAATTATTATTATTAATTAATTATTATTTGTTGTTGTTTCGCAATTCTAAAATGAATTATTAATAGAAGGTGCCTATAATAAATTAAAATTACCTTAATCACACCAAAGTCCGTATTGCTGCACTGCACTGCTAGGCCATTTGTCGACAACTGAATTTATGGCTATGTCGCCCAGTATGGCTGTGTTTGTGCCGCGTTTGCCCGAGCGCTCATTCTTCAACTGGGTGACCAGACCTGTATATGAGTATGGCTAAATAAATATGGGAACAACTTTTTAAATATTTCAATGCCGAGTTGCTGCGTCAGCGACCGAACCTGGTATATAAGTTCTGTTCAGAAAATATTTTTTTTAATTACGCGGCAATGGATATATTTAGTGATATGCGGTTGGCAGCATTGCGTTGTAACTACATGTTCTTAGATTGCTGATATCTCATTTAGTTTGTGTGATATTGTTATTTGAGTGCAACGTGTTTGTGTTAGTGACGATTTTCGTCAATTTTGTGCCAAGAATTAGAATACTGTCCTCCCTCTCCCTCCTTACTCGCCAGACCTGGCTCCTTGCGATTTTTCTTATTTCCGAAATGTAAATCATTGCTGACAGGACGCCGTTTTGTGACTATTGGTGACATCAAAGCAAATTTGTCACAGACGTTAAGGATCTTTTCAAATGAAGCTATCCGGACCAACAATTTATAAAATTAATAATAAAGTTTACAAAAATATAGTTCGGTTATTTTCTGAACAGACTGCCTGTTCAACAGTTCTACATATTTTTATTAAGAAAAATTGCATTCTTCATATTCATCGTTGTTTTAATAATTCTAAGCGTAACGCTACCAACTACCTCACAGATAATGTAACCTACATGCAAGCAGACGAAAATCATGTAAACTGTATTTTCTTTCTGCGTAAATATCGCACAGGCAATTAGTGTAGTAGTAAATCACCCCTTATTTATCGCTTTAACTTGTTCCTTGTAATTAAAACAATTAAACCGCCTCAACGCACTGTTATTATTGCTAATTTAACGAAGATGCGCGCTGATGTTTATAGAATCGTGAATTATATAATGAACCTTTCACTCTATCCACGTTCATAAACGCTCTAGTTTATGGATATTGAAATTTATGCCAGGATATATTAGAATTCCTAGAAGAAAAAAGCGGTATTTGAAATATATATTTTAATAACACAGTAATATTGTAGAGAATATTATTCTTCCATTTGGATTGTATGTGGCGTAGCTGTATTGCACATTTTAATTGTATTCGATTTCAAATGCAATTTCATGTACTTCATATTGAAAATAAACAGAAAGCGGTATCTGTATAGATGTAATATCAATATGGATATGGAAATGAGATTTGAAAACTGCTTGAGGATGTATATTATACATATACATTCGGGAAATTAAACAATGGCTTACTTTTATACCTACAGACAGATGTACGTATAAAATGTTATCGTTTTACTCAAAATATACAGGGTGTGGCGTGATAATCTATAAAAATTAAACTACAGCTTCCTGATGATATTTGTAATAGAAAACTCTTATACGAAAAAGTTCTATTTTTACGTTTTTTTTTGTAAATTAGAGTTCCTTTATTCAACAAAATTGAAGGTCGACCCTGTGTTATTTATTAATAACTTTGGAAATGTTTTTTGCGACCTGAGATGCAACTTTATAATTTAAGCCGGTATAATCTAATACTAGTAATACTAAAAGAAGGTTAGGTTACATTATCAAAAAAATTGTGCAGTCAACTGATTTTGTATTTGTATTGAATTCATTATTCACTTAATTATTAAATATTAAGCATCGTCCATCGACTCATCAGTGTTAAAAAGTGAAAGATTCCAGACCAAACTTTTTATTTTGTAATTCTACGATAGTGACAGTGTAATTTTTATAAAGAAGTAAAAAATAAGAATAGCGTGGCGATTACATTAAAAACGACATTCTTATATCTTAATTTGCTTAATTTTTTAGTTTGTAAACAAACTGGTTTTACAATGAACCGAGAAAAGAATGCATTTACTATTTCCGAACGTGTCGATATGGTGTTAGTGTATGGTGCAGCCGGAGAAAATGCGCTCGCGGCGACTAGGTTGTACTGCGAACGATGGCCACAACGTCACCTCCCATTGCAAATACAATCCTACAGTGCGTTCAACGGCTGCGAGATGTGGGAAGGACGTGGTAGCAAGTGAATCTTAATGTTGAAGATGCAGTGTACAATTAGTACTCGGTGACTCGCACAGCAAGTAGGAATCTCATCTCGTACCGTACATCGCATCTTAAGGCGCCAGCTGTTGCACCCCTATCATCTGCAACCAGTTCAACAATTGGGGGAATACCTGGAATTTGGGAAAATATTCGCCAAAATTGGGTGCGTCGGTACCATGCTTGTATCCGCGCTAATGGGGATCAATTTCAACATTTTCTCCAGAAAAGAAAAGTTTTATTTCATTTTGTTCCATATTTTAATGGAGTTTGTTTAGTGCACATAGTTGGCAACTACAGATGCTTACGGATGTAGTTTTGTTTGTGAACTCTTGCAGTAACAAGAATGCATTTAAGATAGTAATTACTATTAATTGTTATAATAAGAAAATATCTGTTTTTTTTATATCTATTTTTCTTAGTTTGAACTTTTGCACTGAAAAATTCCCCAAAAATTGAGAAGTATCTTTCTATCTTTCACCGACGATTTGTTTACGCGGCTGGTCTACCGCACGTAACTCATCGTACAGAATACGGACAGGACCGTTCCAGAGAAAATATTTTGATTCATAATTGAACTTTAATTTACGAAAAAAAAACGCAAAAATGGAACTTTTTCGTATAAGACTTTTCTATTACAAATATCGCTAGGAAGCTGTAGTTTAATTTTTATAGATTACACACGCCACACCCTGTATTAAATGTACTCTTAAATGTAATGACAATTGAAACGTAACAATTATTGATTGTATTGTAGGATTTGTAAAACCTAAAGAAAAACTACTTAATCCCGTAAGGACTAAACAATTACAATTGGAGACAATAGCAAAGTACCTACAATCAAATTATAAGTAAAAATATAATGAATTAAGTAAAACATATACAGGGTGATAGTTTAACCTTTAACCGATAGAAACCTCATTATAAAAAGATCACATAGATATAAGTCGTAGAACGTCTCAATTTGAAGATACGAACTTGAACTAATGATCTAACTAAATACATATAAGAAATATCAATAAAAATATATTTAACATATCAATACCATTGCGCATTTTGGATATTTTATTTACTTTTGGTTAATATTTCCAACAAATATTTGAATAAATCGAGAATAACTTCAAAACTATTCATTTCACAAATAATATTTGTATGAAATTTTTGTTGTCTCAAAAATGGTTTGTTTTTCAAATAAAATATAATACCCGTTTGTGTTAGAAATACTAACCAAAATTAAATGCAATTTTCCAATTTACACGGGTGTGCCATTTAACATTCCCGCTGCCAATATCTCCGATATGAAGAAATTTATTTTAGTTTCAGAAACTGGGGTTGTTAGGTTCCTCGGATAGCTCCAAATTGAAGTTAGAACTGTTAGTTCAAATCTTTCTGTATAGATGGCGTGGCGATACTAAAAAATTTTTTGTTCCCTAGAACGTGGAAATATAGTCCATCTGAAAGATCGTTAAATGTTGAGTAATATTTGTAATATAAAGTTTTTCCCTATGTTTACTTATTTTCGAGATATGTCGACTTTTAATATGCAATGTATGTAATCTAAAACTCTTTTAGTTAGGGACATTTTATTTGATAAAAGTCTTTGTTCATTATAGTGAAATATTTCTGAATATGTAAGAAAATAACATACTGTATTATTCTTTCCCTCCGATTTTTCTTTCATTTTCACCTTAAAACTTTTATATGCGAACGCCGATAACTATCTAATTTATATTTTCTAACAGAAAGGTATGTTCAGGTTTATGGCCTCTTATGAAGTTTTGATATTTATCATGAATTTGGAGTGAATACAAATACGTTTTCGGATAAGTTATTATTATTGTAAAATCAAATTCAAATATCTCTACATATTTTTAAACAGTCTTCTATTTCTTGTATTTATCTATTCCAAGTATCTAAATGAATCGGGCTATCAAGAGGTTAATAAATAACAGCTTGAAGATATACCAGTTTCATACATAAATATAAATACCACTTCAACTAACAAGCCTCTAATTGTATAAAAAAATATTGTTTCACGAAACTCCAGAAAATGGGAAGTCCTTTTTAGTACGATTATACTTTCATCAAGATACCATAATGGTAAGCAATTGTAGAAACTGAACACATTTTTTTTTTTCAGAATATGGACGTAGCTGTAAAGACATAGGTTGCCCAAGCAATGAAGTTTGTGTAATGGAAAATGACCCTTGTAGTTATTATCAGAGGCAGGGTGAATGTGGATCGTAAGTATAAAGTAGAATAAAGTATTTTGAAAATAGATTATATGAAGTCTACGTTTTCTAGATATCCAACATGCAAAAAGACTGGCAATTCCCAAAGAACCTGCGCTACATATGTATGTCCTCCATCAAAAGTTTGTAAGATGGATGGTGATACCCCAAAATGTGTGGATGATCACAGCCAGGGTAAGAAGTTATCAGTAATAATTCTCTAGTACTTTAACTAAAAGCTAATTATATTTTATTCTATGACGAAACATTATTTATCAACTAACAAATAATCTCATATAAATCACGTACTACACTTTGTACGTGTAGTAAGTAAATAAAGTTACATTTATCGTTTTTGTTTTATTGATATGTGACAAGCATAACTATACAGGGTGATTCAGAACTTATCAAAAAAAAAAAATCTGGATGTACAGGGGACTCTTACAAATACAATTTTGTAAAGAAAGTATCAAAAAGGGCAGTTCGAAAATGATTTAAAAATACACTTCTGCACGGCACTGGACAAAAATTTGGCAAGGAAAGCAATATAAATAGAAAATTGAATTTTATAACACCTATTATATATCAGCAGATTCAACTGCTTTTGTCGCTATTGTTATTATTATTAATTAATTAAATTAATTTGTGGTTTTAAATAATAAAATAATTTGAAATACCCGATGTTACAATAATTGTTCAAAACTTTTGGGCCCGTCTTACTCAGTTTCTACGAACTAACACAAATGCTTCACCATAATGCAAATGTTTTCTTGCTTCGTCATAAATTAAAACGATATCCATCAATTCCGAGCTGCTATACACGCAAGCAATTTTTGACACAAACTACTAAAAAACTATTGTAAACACTATGGCAACGACGACTATAAATTCGGATTTAGTATTCGAAGTCGCTGCGGCACGCGGCTCTCCAGGCTTATTACGAATGACGCTAGAGACTACAGTTGTCCAGTTATGTAATGGTTGAAAGTATTATAACTTCAATTACTTTTGCTCGGAAACTATAAGCATTTTACAAAAATGTTTTTTACTATGACTTCATTTCTCATATCGCATCTAATCCCAATATTTTTTGGATAAGTTGTGAATCACCCTGTATAGTCAGGTTTTTTTGAGATTACGTCAATTTTCATTATTTAGATACTGTACACTTTCTATAATAACTGCGGGATAATCAAAAAATAATAACGTAATCCATTTGGGTTTATAGATTAAGAAATAATTTATCGCACTTGTTAATTATTTTTACAAATGCCATTTAATATATCAGCTACTAACTAAATGTATAAGATATTTATAGAAAGATCTGTAAAATATATATGACTTTTTTTATTTTTAAAGAAGAAGTCAGGTTAGAGGTTAGGTTAAAATTATACAAGGTGAGTTTTATTCGATGTTTAGTGAAGGGATCTGGGAAAGTAGCAGAGATAAAAAAAGCTTAAATGAGGAAAGATGTAGTTTTATGATCATTATTAAATGTTACTTTTATTTCTTAAATAAACGTCATGGCTGACTAGATATTTAGAAAAAATCCTAATTCGGCCAATTCTTAAAAAAATCTACGTCAGGGAGCAATTTAAAAATTAAAAACAGCTACAGTTTTCCCATTTTTCAAAATAACAATACCGAATATTATATCGTTGGAAAGCATAAAAAAGACAATTTTTTCTAGCCCACAGCTAACTATAGTTTACATTTAAAAGATTTTTTATTTATAGCTTGGAAACGAAAGTGTACATGAACAATTTGATCAACCTATCTGAAAACCTGAAACTTTGTAATTTAATTTTTTTTTGTAAAATAAATAACAACGAAGCTATACGCATCTGAAAGAATTGGCCGAATTCGGATTTTTCCAAATATCTAGTCAGCCATGACGTTTTTTCAAAAAATAAAAGTAACATTTAATAAGGATCATAAAACTGCACATCTTTCCTCATTTAAGCTTTTTTGTATCTCTGCTACTTTCCCAGATCCCTACACTAAACATCGAAAAAAACTCACCCTGTATACTTTTTTTACTTCTGTCACCAACACATGAAGAAAAAATTATGAAACATTTTCTTATAAATATTATTAAGCACGCTCTTCACATATAAATAATTTGTCCTTGAATTAGCTAATTGGAAAAGAATTGCAATTATACGTTTAACTAATGGCGTCGTTTGTTGTATAACATGTCAAGATGCACTGTAACAGACTTTAAAAAAAGTAAAAATTACATTAATAATGTACTATTGTATAATGTTTTTTGTTAATAAAATAAAAAATATTATCAATTGTTCTTCGATCTGAATACAACGCTTCAAAGTGTTGTAACGGACCGTAAAAAGTAAAAAAAAGTGTCCTTAACCGCCTTATTATAAAATACCTTATTATTTTTGTTAATAAAATAGGACTAACTGCATTTGGTCTAAGTAAATAATCATTACAACAGAAGGCATAAACGATATACAGGGTGATTCATTAATAATTGTACGTACGCTAACTGGACAATCCTGGGCTGAAAATATGTGAATTGACACATAACGCTTAGATAAAATATGGCTCCTTACGGAGTTGCAGGGTATTTTATTTAAAAAATTTTAAATGATTTTTGTCCATTACTAAAACTGTACTCAAATGTAAAACCTAATTCAATTCATTCCCTTGACTGCCGTGACCGACTTGACTGATAATAATATGACAAATAAACTACATAATAAAATAATAATGATTGTGCTGCCTATGTTTAACTTTAAAAATCTCAAGAAATAATGACTTTACCGCTATGAAGGTTAGTAGGTTAATTGCATAGAAGGTATTGAAGAATTGAAAAATTATACCAAAATAAAAATTCCGCCAGTGGCGTAGAAGTTAGGAATGGGAAACTGCCCATCTATGAAGGTCACCTGTCTTTGTCATTTCTACTGCGAACTCTCTTGATCCACACATCTCGCAGACAAAATGAGTTCAGTTAAGTTGTAGGTAGTAATTATGTTTCCCATACAAAAAGTATGAGCATATTTAACTGGATGTTTCTGACATACCTTGTTCCACCAGTAGGTATTCAATTATTAATAAGTAACGTATAAATTCTTTTGAGACAATGATGACTTTATTTGCTGCTTCTTGAAAGATGCATCGATGAGTTATACTTCTATTCGTCTGAGTAGTATTTCAGTATTCAATAATTTTTAATATAACTTAGTTGTTACCTTCATTGTTTCATGTTTGTTTCAAGTAACACTTACAGTCGTTCCTATACAAATAACTAGGCAATATAAGTAATTTTTATGGAATATATCATGAATTTGTTAATTCTCCCTTCTTCTTTGACAAAAAAAAACACTAACATTGCAACGTTTGCCTGTATGTATGTATGGGTACAGAATTTGTACTTCTACTAAATCTGTAGCATTCAGTGAAAGACAAACTATTATGTTCCAGTTGGCCATGTCGGATACAACACCCAGAATCAGAACACCATGGGCCAACATAACCAACCAAGTGCCCCTCCCAGCGGGAACCTGTACCCAACATTGAACAGAGGTGAAACTACACCGAGACCTAACATACATCAACAACAATCGGGTCAGGGTGGAGGTTATCAGGGAGGACGCGTAGGATCAGGATATCCAGGTCAAGGTGGACAACAGGGTGGTTATCCCGGAGGATACCCTCAACAGCAAGGTGGTTATCCTCAACAAGGCGGATACCCACAACAAGGCGGATACCCACAACAAGGCGGATATCCACAAGGCGGATACCCACAAGGTTATTATCCAGGTTACTACCCACAGGGTTATCCACAAGGTAGTCTTTTATTTTTTTTTATTCTTTGATCCTTCAAGATTACTGGAATTCAGCGCTGCATGTTTTGTATTTCGCCTACAATAGCTAACGGTAAAATGAGTCGCGTGGACAAAAAGAGTTTTTTTATTATTACAAAATAGATTAGCAAAAAATCCTTAAATAGTATTTTTAACAAATACTATTTAAGGATTCCAAAACGGCTCGTATTTCAAACAAAATGTAAGATACCGGTAAGAAAAAAAGTGGAACTGTTTGCTTGAATCAAATTTATGATGAATGATTTATAAACATTTTTATAATTGGCACAAGATTTGCAATATCAATGATGTTCATAAATTATCTTTATACTCACAAATAACTTTACATGCTTTTTGAAGCAAAAAGTTCGAAGAAACCTCCGCTTTTCATATATCAATGCTGCTAATTTGAGGAAAGTGATTTTCATCTGTTAATATCACAAAGCGAAGAAAACTAAACTGAAAAAGTTATTTCCAGCGGCACCAATACAAAATTGCATCTCTGAGATAAAAAAAATATAAAAGCACTAGTCGGAATGAATGTAGACAAAATGGATATACGACGAATGAGCGAGTGAAGATTGTGAAAATTCATTACGAAAATAAACAGACCAATCACCTCACCAGTGTAAAATTCACACCACACTGTCACTCTTTGGGCATACAGTGGTCGTTCTCTAAATATGACAGTTTTGCTTGTTCACATACCCAATAAGATGGAAATGCACCTAGTGGATAGAGATGATTTTCTTACAAAATCACCGTCCACTTGTTGATTGGGTTTGGTTTCTGAGTTATGATTGAAATAACTCATTTAGAGGGGAAAAAATTGTTACCTGGACTTTTGTAAGTGGAATTTGAAAAGGGACTTATAATAAACGTAAAAAAATAAATTCGTGAGCAGGGGTGGCGGAGGGTTAATTTGAGGGGTTCAGAAAATTGTATCATTGGGATTTCTGGCGAAAGTTGACGCCAAACAAAAAAGTATTCAATACAAAAGTTGTCGATCATGCAAAAATGTACAACTTTTGTAGAAGTCACTTTTTAAGAGAACCTCAAAATTTCCGAAAAAATTGCGAAAAACGGTTTTTTTCTTATTTTTCGTTTTTTATTTCTTATTCCCGCAAAAATAATTTAATTTTAACGAAACTTGGTGAAAATATATACCTTTCTGTATCTTAAATAACCACAAATTTGTTTAGATTTATTTATTCACTATTCGACTTAGATGTTTATAGCAATACTGTAGATACAGAAATAAAGTTTTGTGTCAAACAATGAAACAATTTCTTTTGTATTTTTTTCCGTACAATTGAATGGTGTAATCAGTTCTTGAATTTTTTTTTTAATTTAAACTTACTGAAAAATTTATTGTTTCAAGTAATTTTTTATTTTTTTTACATTTTTGAGTATGTTTTTGAACTGTGATTACATATTTTTTTATTTCACCCAAAAAGTACATATATGTAAAAACGAAAAAAATTATCACCGGTAGACTATGATTTTTCTAAGTAGAATGTTTCTTTGAAAAAAAGTGTTTCAGACCGGAAAAAATGAATATCTCGGAAAGGTATACTTTCACCTAGTTTCGTCAAAATTAAATTATTTTTGCGGAAATGAGAAATAAAAAACGAAAAATAAGAAAAAAAAGTTTTCGCATTTTTCTCGGAAATTTTGAGGTTATTTTAAAAAGTGACCTCTACAAAAGTTGTACACTTTTGCATGATCTACAACATTTGTATTGAATACTTTTCTCTTTGACGTCAACTTTTGCCAAAAATCCCAATGATACAATTTTTCTCAACTTTTCAACCCTCCAAATCAACCCTCCCCCTCCCCTGGTCACGCATTTATTTTTTTACGTTTCTTATAAGCCCCTTCACCATTTCCACTTATAAAAGTCTAAGTAACATTTTTTTTTCTCTAAGTGTAATTTGGTTGGACTATTAGCTGAATCTTGAATTGATGCACATGCAGATCTATTGCTAAAATCCGCTGCAATGTGCTTTTTGAAATATTTAATTGCACTGACCGACAACGCACTGAGGTTACGGAAATTTGCGTCACATTTCACTCACCGTAGCAATATTTTCGGCTGAAAGGCGAGTACGAGACCAACCCGTTTTTTTTATTTTCCGCAACAGAACCTGTTTGTTCAAATTTGGCAACTAATCTTTTCATAGTTGTTTCATTCGGAGCGGTCCCTTTACCGAAAATTCCACTCAATTTGTGCACAGCCTCTGCTACACACTCTCCGTACTTGTAATGAATTTTCACAATCATCCGTCATATAGCGCTCCATTTCGTCTAACCGTAACTCGCTGCTCTGTTAATTGAATAACAAGAAATAGAAGAAGATATATTCTAAAAAATTTTACACTAATTTATTTTTTAATTAAAAAATGTACTTGCGTGTAGGTATTTATCAAAAATTACCACAACGATACTAATCCTACATTTGACTGACAACCACTATAAACATAACACTGTTGTCATAATTTATTTTTCTTCAATCATTTTGAAGAAAAACGCATTTCCCATGATAATCCTTCACCCTATACATTTAACTATATTATTATTGCAAAGTAAATCTTCGCACACGCTACACGTACTAAGAGATCGTAGATTCGGATTACGTTGTTATCTGGTGGTTGTGCAACGCTAGTTCGCTGTCCGCCAGAACTTGAATAACAACTATATCCTGTATCTAATTCGTTTTTGATGGACTTCCGTGTACAGCCATATACAGGGTCGGAAAGTCCCCATGGTTCATCGGCCGTTACGTGAGAGCGATAAAGTAAGTCATAGAAATCCGTGTGATAGAGACAGATGGCTATAATGAAGGCGTCTAATAGTCACCGCCCATTTCGCCCTTCCACAAATAAGAAGTGGTTCTTATTAAATTTTACTTCACTGCTGCGTGGTGTATAACATTTTATCTGCTCCCACAGTTCTTTATGGTTCATGAAATAAATATTAGGTTTTATTTTTTGACATTTCTTAATCAATTCATTTTGATATTATTCGAAATCTGGCCAGTCACCTTGGTTGTTTGGATTTTGTCGTTTCTAAACTGTTTATAAATAAAGTTGCAATGTTGTTGGTTTTGAATTATTATTTCTAAATGAGTGATTTTCAAATAGAAAGTGAAGCAAATGCTGCCTGCGAATTTTTATTGCCCGAGAAGTTGAAAGTGCGCTACGGACGAGTATATAGAAATTTCAAAGAATGGTGCCAGAATAAAAATACTGGTGTTTCTGAAATGTCACAGCTTGCATATGTCATGGAGAAGTCAAGAACTTTAAAGTCACCGACGCACAGTGGGAAATGTTGGACAAAATTCTCGCCACTCGCCAGTTTTCATCGTCTCGTCGTGATTTTTTTTTAATAATCTCGTGGTAATCTGAATTTTCATATTCCGGTGAGGTTTTTTTGAAAAACCTTTTTTTAATGCTTAGGGAGCGCCCCAACCTCAATGTCGAAGAAAAAATTTTTAAATAGGTACTCGATGTTCAATTGTAGAAAAAAATGTTTAAAAAGTATCTGCTATTAATAAAATTGATTATTATGACCTTTGATGATATATCTGATGTTTTTTCTTCAAAAACCTAACCAGGAATGTGTATTTAGAATGACTGCATATCAAATCTATTGAATTTTTTTTAATTTTTTTAGATAATATTTGATTCTCCTAACTCCTGAATTTGAGGTTAGGTTAGTCTATCAGGCTTCATTGCAAATTTAATAAATGGTTAGTAATAATACGCCGCAATAATGTTTTACAAACGTTTTATTGCTATGTAGATGTTTTTATGGAATTTTTCTAGCAAAAAATTCGAGTTAAACAAAATTTCAGGGTCTTTAGGTTAAATTTTCAGTTTTGACTAAAGGTTTTGGCGATCGCGATGATGAACACTCAACAAAAATACATTTATACTTTTTGTTAAAGAAAATAATTTTGTGACAATTTTTTTCACTCTAATGATTTGATTTGACAATCTTTCCAGTTTTGAGGTTAGGTTCTTGGGTTAAGGTGTCAGATTTGGGTACAGTATGGCACAAGGTGTGTGCTTTCGGAAAATCCTTAATTTAGTGAGTTTAAACTTAGTTAATGTTCGTTTTGAGGTTAGTTTTTTTAGATTCAAATTCATGGTTTGGATATAACATGTTACGTATGGTTCTACTTAATCTATTTCGTACTTTTGGCATGTAAAAAACTTGTTTCCCAATGTAAATTTCATTTAAGGCTTTTAGGTTAGAATTAATAATCTTGAGGTTAAGTTTTTGAAGAAAAAACATCAGATATATCATCAAAAGTCATAATAATCAAATTTATTAATAGCAGATACTTTTTAAACATTTTTTTCTATAACTGAACCTCGAGTACCTATTTAAAAAAAATTTCTTCGACATTGAGGTTGTGGCGCTCCCTAAGCAATAAAAAAAGGGTTTTTCGAAAAAACCTCCCCGGAATATGAAGATTCAGATTACCACGAGATTATTAAAAAATAAATCACGACGAGACGATGAAAATTGGCGAGTGGCGAGAATTTTGTCCAATATTTCCCACTATGCGGCGAGTTTGTGAAGTGAATACTCAATGATTAAGTTAACTATTTTCAAAGAGAAAAACGTGAATATATCAAAATACCCTAAGCTGAGAGCATTTTTGAAACGTAAGAACGACGGCTATACACCTAAAAAGTCAAACGTTTTTACAAGAGAATAAGTGACGGTCTTAGGTATTGCAGGAGCATGCCGTCCTGCTGACTTATGCCAACTTACTTTGGACAACGTCAATTTCAAATATTTTGATGACATTTTAGTTACAGTTCCAGATTCTAATGATGGTATGTTACGTACGTTTACAATTCGTATAGGTTTTGTTTCTCACCTAGAATTTCTCAAGAAATAGGTATATCAAGATTAAATTGAAAATTAAAACTGAAATTTCACGCTTTTTTATGCGTAGGTAGATGTTACAACCAACCAGTCGGCAAGAATACCTTTCTATGATTCCTAATAAGATTGCACATTTTTTGAAACTAGAGCATCCTGAAATATACAGGGTGATTCAAAAAACCGCTGACAGACTTCTAGGGTAAGTAATACATGAAAAATTAAGACGAAAAGTCTTAATAAACATAGGGTCGCAAATGCCTCCTTAACGAGATACAGGGCGTCAAAGTTTCTGTAAAATTAAAGCGTAAAAATGACAAAAAGAAGCTTATAATCTAGTTTACTTAACTCACTTGTACACATTGACATTAGTGACAGGCGATGTTTAATTTTATTTTGAATAGCACAAGCCTACTATGCGAAACTAAAATGAATGAAAATAAAATTGGATTTACAAATTTTCTACAAAGGTGTTTCTCTTAAAAATGGTTGCTTTAATCCAAATTTTGCAAGAGACCAATTCGATAGACAATTGAACACTTTACACGAAAATAGTGCCCGTTTGACAAAATTAGCAGTGGCGTAGAAAATATTTTTAAAAAAGGGTCACGTTGACCCCGTCTCTACGACACTGCTGCTCATAAAATTTTGAGCAGTACATCAAACATTGGTCTTAAGGTGCTAACTACGCATAGCAAATTTGAAATAGAAATGTTCAGGCATTTTGGAATTATTGCAGACAATGTTTAATTTTACAGAAACTTTGACGCCCTGTATCTCGTTAAGGAGGCATCTGCGACCCTATGTTTATTAAAACTTTTCGTCTTAATTTTTTATGTATTATCTACCCTAGAAGTCTGTCAGCGGTTTTTTGAATCACCCTGTATACAGGGCATTCATTCCAAAGAACAAACGTTACGTCGGCAAACGTTACTGGCTAATACAGGAGTTGATGTATTAGCAATCAAGAGACATGTTGCTGAGAGTTTAAGTATCAAAAATGAAATAACTAACAGGATTCTTTACAATCCAGGTTCTAGCAGTACATCGCATCATGCTGTTTTAATGGATCAGTCAGACAATATTGAGCCCCCGGTGACTAAAATGGAGCGGTCAAATTATTTTAAGAAAAATGTGCCAATTAGTAAACGCGAGAGGAATAATTATCCAGATTTTATAAATGTTACTGAATGTAATAACTGCACAATTACTATAAATATTCATTCACAATAATTAATAAAATGTAATGTTCATCAAATATTTCTATTTATTTGTTCATAAAATATGCATAGCAACTTCTACTTCTTCGGTAAAATCCACTTACCTCCTTAAAAACAATGTCTAAACAATTAATAGTCTATTTACTATAGTGGAAGCAGATAAAATATATTCTGATGTTGGAATATCATTTACATGGCATTTCCCACCTGTTGAATTATTTTGACCGTTGGCAGTTATCAAAACAGCTTATCGACACCGAGATCGTAATCAACAGGCTCAGAAAGATGAATGTGTTTAGATTTTATAATCACTACGCATAGAACAATTTTTATGGGAAAAGTCAGGGTTTTCCTATGCTTTTTGTTTATAACTAATTGCAAACAATGGAGAAATTGTAAAATCCTACGGAAACAGTTTTAAAATTATGTAGAAAAAACAATCGTCGTATGATATAAATTGACTTATTTTGAGCCAGCTACTAAGCTTCATAGATGAATTTTCTGGACATATTGATTCATATTTAAAACTTCCTGTATATTTCGCTAATAGTAGCTTCTAATTTCCAAGACATCTAATTCAACCAAACTTTAAAGGTGGTTACCAAGGCCAAGGCGGTTACCAACCTCATCCGGGATATGGGGGCTATCAGCAAGGAGGACATCAGCAAGGATACAACAACAGATATGGGCAGCAGTCCACTGGGTCATCATTTTCCGACACGATATCCAACAGTCTCAAATCCATAGGTACTGATGCTTTGAAAAACGCGTTAGGAAAGATCTTGTCGGGAAATAGGAACTAAATTGTGATATTACCTGTCGAAATCTTGCCAATAATTATTATTTTGACCAAAAAAAATGTACCACTTGTCAAGTTAACAGTTGTTGCAGTAAATTTAAGAATCCTCAATTTTCGTTCTGGTATTGTGTTCAGTGTTACAAAAGACAATATTAGCAATTAAAACTGTTACTGAATATGCACATATGAATAAACAAGTTTGTAAACTGTAGTAATACCAAAAAATACTCAGAAATTTAGGATAATTATTTATCATATTGTTTCCCCTAACAAGGCAATTAACATTTGCTTATCTTCAGAAAATTGCATAATATGTTAAATAATAAGAGATATATGATGATTATGATGCCATAAATGATAGTGATATTGGAATTAATAGCTCCAGATTATGTTTCAAGAAATTTATTCCATTTTTTTAAATAAATTATGCATGACATAATAAATATTGTAGGTCAAATATATTTTATACTTATTAGTTAACTAGTTACTTTAGTAAATTTGACATATTTTTTAATATGTAATTTTTTAAATTGATTAGGTCTTAGTAATTTGCCAATATCCACTGATGATTTTTAGTAAAATAAAATTTATGAACCAATAATATACACTTTCATTAAAGTTGATATACAATTATTGATGAATTCGTATAAAAAGCGTCTGTCAATCAACATCTATTTAAATTATATGAACCTCAAAAAGATCTTGTTAAAAAAGTAGTATAAGTATCCAGTAACATAATTTACTGTATTTTAGTGATGTATACAATTGTATTCTTGAATGAAATCACTGACTTGTATTTTATTTGGGAGACTATTGACTATATTGGTAAACCATGAACATAGAATACTATTAAAAAAAACACGTGCAATTTGCTTAATCATTGTTTCATAAAATTCATAGTTACTTTTCGAAGAACGTAAAAGCAGTTGTTCCCTTAAATTGTAATACTTCCTTTTGAGAAAAAGCAAAATGCGTCATCGATAAATAACCACATAAAACTCCTCATTGTGTGACTACATTGTGTCATTTTTATAAAGAATAAATACATAATTTACAAGGTTGGGATTCCATTGTAGAATACAATATGCCGTGATGTATATACTAATACACAATTTTATTTTCAGGGCTATTCTGTGTTCTCTTAACATACCTAACGACAAGAATGTACGGAGTTTGAAAAACTTTAACTGACTTTGAAAAATAAACATTCAAAAACTCTCTAAATTAACAGAAACTGTTGTATATGTTCCTTATTAAATGACATTTTATATTTTTGTGATATATTTAAATTAAATTACGTTTTAATTTCAGTACTTAGGTATATGTAAAATTATTTTAAAAACCTACGGTGAGTACCTCAATAATTTTAGCTTTATGTGGTGGCAGTTTGACACTTGCACGTTTTTGTTGTTGTTTATTTAATTTCTCACCTTTTTTTCATTTTAACAGAATAGCCCTGCTTTTATTTTGCCATTTTTCAGTCTTATAAATATCAAAATTAACTTACTAACATGATAGTAGCTTGTAGCTAAAAGATTTCTGTATATATTGCACAATTTAATTTAATATTTTGTTTTTGTTTTAGTTGTTAAAGTGTAAAAATTATTAAACGCTTAGCCAAAAGTAATTGTTAACTGTTTTGCTTTTAGTACTATTTATCAAGATATACCAACAATATTTTTATAAAAAAACTGTATATATTTCTATTTTATAATGTTTAAATAAAAGATGAATAAGAAAGGATTGATTTTTTAATAATAAATTATTAAAATTTTCAGGACCTACTTGGATTATTATATATTCTAAATGGGGGTATTAAGTTAGCGTAATTTTTTTTCAGAAATATATAATTTTCTGTCCATATTTTAGAAGGAAGGAATTCAAGATTTTTAATCCCTTTATCGATTGAAGTATAAAACTGTTGTGCATAAAATAAATAGCTTTTGTAAATGATTACAAGCCACGTGACCAGTAATTTTGCTTGGAATAATAATTTTATTTCCTCAATTTCCTTGAATTTCGGTGAAATTAAAAATTATTAAAACAATGATCACATTAAAACACAACATTCTGTTTTACCGTCTGGTGATTAGTGTAATTTTCCACAAGATTCTATTCAACCAATCAGCGATCACATTAACTCGAGCGTAAACGTAACGGTTTGTCATTGTTCATTGTAAACGAGTCGTCAATATCGATGATGCTAAAATCTAGGGATTTTTTGTTGACAGTACCAGCTGTGTAGAGTTGGTTGCCTAAGCTCAGCGGTCACGTGGCTTGTATTCATTTATGAAGGTTCTATATTATTGAAATATATACATTATTTTCACAGATCATCATACTGGGAAAAATGAGTACAACGAGATAACCACGTACCAAAGAAAAAATAAACATTTTCTGTCAAAGTAGGGAGTATCAGACGATTACTTCAGCAAAATTTGGAGTATTAGAGAAAATAGACTTCTCACAAAATTCCTGTCAAACAATTCACCCGAACAATTATTAAATTTTTTAAATATTAGCAAATAAATCTACTTATGCGATACATATTTAACAACTCTTGGCAAACACCTTTTATATACATTCTTTTTTTGCCTGAGGATGTGACTTAATATGGTTCACGAAGCAGGTAGAGAAATAAAAAGATTTTTGTGAGGAAAGTCTATTTTCATTTAATGCGAACATCTACTTGCATAGGATTGTATTACAAAAATTTATGTGAATTCAATAGCTATTAGTTTATGTAAATATAATTTAAAATTTTCAGACTGTGATAATTTTTGGTTTTAAAATATTTTGTATCATCATGTAATGAACATCTAATGTAACTGGAAAATAATAAATTCCAACAATTCTTAAGTTTGTTGTTCTTAGTTTAACCTTCCAAAGTCACATAAAATACAGACACTTCAAATTTAATTAGAACAAAGGGCAGAACTTTCATAATTTCTATTCAGACATGCAGATGAGAAATGCAATAATTGTAATACATATTTGCATATTTTTTAAGGATATTTCTATTCACAATCTTATTATGTGGCAATTATTAAAATATCGTTAGTAAATTTTAATTGCGTAGGTACTACTTGTTATAAAATATGCAATATGAGCATATAAAGGCGTCATTTGTTTTGAGTTTGGATGTTTTCGTTATTGTGACTTAGATTAGAAAACGTGGGGGCTGATTATGTTGTTTTTAATAAATGATAACAGCACTTAAATTTCTTCTGGAAGAAGTTTTAATCTTTTACCTACTCAAATTTAGATTTAGTAAATATACAGGCTGTTACAAATTCGCTTCTCACTACAGGGATCTCGGAAACAGTAAGAGATAGAAGTAATTTAAATGGGGCAAAGTTGCATAATCAGGGGACCAACATTATGCCTCTAAAAAATCAAGGCTAACGTTTAGTTTTCGAAATATTTGAAAAAAAATCCAAAATTTTAGAAATCCGTTTTTGTCTAATTTCAGCCTTGTTTGAGGTGATATTGACAAAAGAAGAACACTTTCTCATGGCAACTTTCTGCCCTCTATCAAATGGCACAATCAATTTTTATATGTAACGTTTCGTCTCTCCAGGACCATTATCAACTTAATTTTTTTAAATACCTAGAAATTTTATTACATTTTTTGCAAGCCTTCATAACCCCCAATACTGTACTACCTCAGCCCAAACCAGATTCAGACGTTTTGTCTCGAAAAATTCATCTTCAGTGTATTCGTTACAAATTTATCTGAATTTTTATTTAGATTTCTTAGTTCTAGTTATTTAAACTATTACCACCACACGTTACAATAAAACATTTATTATTATTAACTATTATCATCACTTGCTCATACATAACTCAATAAGTTGTTGCGTCAAAATTAAAACATTATCACAATTTTAATTTTATTATGACAAATTAATTCTTAAAAGTGCATATGAACAACCAAAACGCCAACTGAATATTATTCTTTAAAAAATTTCAGTAAATGTTCAAAAACATTTTCATTTTGGCAAAGGTTGAAAATGAAGATCAGCGTAATATTATCGGAATTTATTATATCTGTAACTGCAACTGTGAAAAAGCATGTCAGATGAGAAGCCTATAAATAACTATGGACACGGGAATAAAAATGTTTTATTTTAATGCGTGGTGGTAATAGTTTAACAAACTAGATGGATTTCACAGGATCTAACAACAGTGTAATTTGTGTAAATTTAGAACGAAGCAGATGAATATTTCCAGACAAAACGTCTGAATCTGGTTCGAGCTGAGGCAGTACAGAATTGGGGGCCATGAAGACTTGAAAAAAATGTAATAAAATTTCCAGGGTCGTATTTAAAAAAAGTTGATGATGGTCCTGGAGAGACGAAACGTTACATATAAAAACTGATTATGCCATTCGATAGAGGGCAAAAAGTGGCTATAAGAAAGTGTTCTTCTTTTTTCAACATCGCCTCAAACAAGGCTGAAATGAAACAAAAACGGATTTCCAAAATTTCGGTTATTTTCAGATATTTCGAAAACTATTCGTGTTAGCCTTGATTTTTTAGAGGCTGTTGGTCCCTGATTGCGCAACTTTGCCCCCATTTAAGCTAATTTGTATCTCTTGCCGTTTTCGAGATTCCTGTAGTAAGAAGCGAATTTGTAGCAGCCTGTATAGACAAATCTGATAAAATTTAGAATAAATTCAGCTGTTTTTCTCATAATCGACACTGGTTTTCTCTAGAAGTGCTGCAATATGTTAAATTTTTGATCACCTTCACTATTTGAGTCTCGGTCACTAATTTATTCAGTGATCACTTCTTCAAATCAACAGATGCATTATTTTCTTGTCGTGCATGACACGACCTCTGTCTAGACATTATTTCAGGTGGAAAGTCCGATTTAGTCAGCATTGTAGACATTCTTTGGTGGAGTCCTTCAATATTACTTATAACCTTCCAAGCTTCCATACGACCCATATTAACATCAGCTGACTTACCATAAATTATTGTAAAGTCTATCTAAAGCCTGTCGTTGACAAAATTTTTGTAGTCATTTATTTGAACCTTTGAAACTGTTAATTTTTAAATTTTCAGCACCTTTTTCTTCTAATAACGGTACAGATATTAAGAGATTTGTGTTTAATTTTTAAGAAAACATTTCCCAAGTTTTGGGAAGACGAATTCATTTTTCTTTTTTTAGGGACTTGATCATTGTAACAAGACCACAAATGAACTTAAACTATGCCAAAATCTATAAAACTATAATTGATCTAAAAAAACCTTTTTACCGTTTTGAGTTGTGAACACTAGTCAGTTTATTTTATTACTAGCTTTTATCAGCGGCTTCGCTCGCATTGAAGCCATTAAATCACGAATTAACCACAAAAATGACACTAACCTGAAACAATAAATATAGAAAATCTTTCGTAAAAAATATATTTTTTTAATAAAAAGTATCCTATATTACTTCTAATACCTCCAAGAATATATGTACAAAGTTTCATGATGATCGGTTAAGTAGTTTTCGCGTGAAAGCGTAACAAACAAACTTACATTCACATTTATAATATAGGGATAAAAACTCAAAATATCTAGAAAATATACTTTAACATAGAAAAATATTCTTTAAAAAATGCACCCTTTTACCCCCTAGAGGGTCCTAACCATAAGAAATTAAATATCAAAAATCTTTTCAAAGAATGTATTAAGCGTTCGGTCCAAAAATCGAGCAAAGATCTAATACCAGTATCATTTTATAAGCAAAAAAATCTACGGATTCCATTACGGTGCTCCTATAAATAACAATCAGACAAGAAAATCTGTAGAAATATTCCCAGGACGGGTCACACCGTAAATTTACTCTAATCGAATCCCATAAAGGACTCTCGAAAAGAACAACCGCTCTGGGAGAGGCTGATATACGGAGGTCGTTACATGAATGTGAAAATAGTAATGAGCGAATATTACCTAACAAAGAGGCCCGGTGCGCCAGCTATTAGCTTAGTTTTAGAAGATGCGTTAATTTGATGAAGGTTTACGGTGCCATTTCGGTCCTATCACGATGCTCATCACCTCATAACCACAAATACGATGAAAGGTTAATGTAATAATTCATGCTCTTTTTTTTTTCTGTAATAAAAAACATATGTACCAAAATTCAAAATTGGGATGTTACTCACAGATGTAAGAAGAGAAAGATCTTGTAAGAAATCACAAATCACTTTTTTCGGCTAGGCAAACATAGTTTCATAAAATCAATCCTTCATAGTACACGGAAATTAGCAAAAATAGAAGAAACAAAATTATAATAAGCTGATATTTTCTGAATCGACAGTTGATAGGGGTAGCATACAGGATCGAAAAGTTCCCATCCCTAACTGGTGAGCTTCATCCCTTTTTCACCCTTATAATGACACCGCGCTGGTTTTTCAATATCTTGAAAATGTGATGCCCTACGCCTAAAATAGAGGTATTAAAAAATATTCAGAATTAAATTTTCTATAAAACATGTTCTATATATAGGTCGTTTGCAGATTATCAGGGGTTTTAGGGGTAGGTAACCAAAACGCTTTTGGATGGCAACACAAGCCTTACTAGTATTCTGTTTTGTAGCATTTGGTTTCAACA